CTTTGCATGAAAAAGGTTTCCAATTAAAAGCAGATCTCAGATAGCAGGACTGGGTGCAACCTCTGCATGAGACCATGGGTGCCATTCAGTGCCAGAGTAGACAACACTGGTCTAGATGTACCAATTGTTTGACTCAATCAGCTGTCAATATTTAGTATTATTGTTTAAATTTGTATACCAGCCTTCATCCAAAGATCACAGGGTTGTTTACAACATCAAAATACAAAATCAGAACACAAAATAATAATAATAATAATAATAATAATAATAATAATTTATACCCCGCCCATCTCGCTGGGCCTCCCCAGCCACTCTGTGCAGCTTCCCAAAAAATATTAAAATACTGTAATACATCAAACATTAAAAGCTTCCCTAAACAGGGCTGCCTTCAGATGTCTTCTAAAAGTCTGGTAGTTGTTGTTCTCTTTGACATCTGGTGGAAGGACGTTCCACAGGGAGGGCGCCACTACCAAGAAAGCCCTTTGCCTGGTTCCCTGTAACTTTGCTTCTCACAGTGAGGGAACCGCCAGAAGGACCTCGGCGCTGGACCTCAGTGTCCGGGTAGAATGATGGGGGTGGAGACGCTCCTTCAGATATACTGGACCGAGGCCATTTAGGGCTTTATAGGTCAGCACCAACACTTTGAATTGTGCTTGGAAACCTACTGAACAAGAACAGAAACAAACCAATAACCCCTCCCACAAACACATGTTCAACCTCAGGTTATCCATTCACTTTATACCAGTGCTTTACTATACTTTTACTTTGGAAGTATGCTACACACAATTGAAAACAGCAGCATACAATGGGGTGGGTGTGACAGAGGGTGGCTGCTGTGTACGGGGAGGGAGAGTGGGAGGGGTGAGGTGGCAGGGCGGTTGACACTGTGCAGTCCCACCCACAGGTGCTCCTGCTGATGCATTTGCACAATACTAACCTCTCCACTGCTTAATGTCCCCACTCTCTCTCCCAATAAGAAGCAGAGACTCAGTTGCTGGGAGGTCAGGTGCTGCCACCCCATGTAGTTATAGTTCCCAGAGTTCCCTGGGAAGAGGGGTTGGCTGCCAAAGCCACTCTGGGAACTCCAACTCTGTGGGGGGAATGGGTGTGTCCCAACAACTCTCAGCACCCTTAAACTACAGCTCCCAGAATGCTTTGTGGGATGCCATGCCAAGTGGTATGATACTGTATTTGAAAAGTATTGTGTAGATGACACCATAATTGATTCCGTCTGTTACTGGCTCTTGCCCCCCCTACCCTTGTCACCTCCTCCTTCTTTCTGCCTTCAACAGGCACAAGCCATCACTGGCAATAGGCATTTAAGCAGAGACTGGGTGGCAATCTCCCTGAAATGCCGTAGTTACATTCTGCATTGTAGCTCCTATACAAAACAAGGGGTTGGAGTAGAATCAGGCATCCCCAAACTCGGCCTTCCAGCTGATTTGGGACCACAATTCCCATCAGCCCTGACCACCGGTCCTGTTGGCTAGGGATGATGGGAGTTGTAGTCCAAAAACAGCTGGAGGGCCGAGTTTGGGGGTGCCTGGAGCAGATGATCCACACAATCCTTTCTGAATCTTAAATTCTGTTCTTCTCACCACTCGGGGAAGTGAAGTTATTCAGCACTATGTTCTTATCATATCCAAGTCAGAAGCCAAGGAAAAAGAAAACAGTGTTTTGTCTTGAGCCTGTTGAGTCATGCCTCCAGTGAGGGGTGCCATCTTCTTGTTTCATGTGTGTCAGACAAAACAACTTTAGTGGCACCCTTTTGAGTTTTCTGGTAAAGAGCCCAGAAGTATAAATGTGCTAAAGGTACAATACACCCATGTATAGAGGGATCTCTACCAGCTCAGAAAGAAAATATATTTTGTCCCTTTGTGTGTCTGTGCACACGATGGTAAGAAAGCCCATGGAAATGGTTTCCTCCAAGCTCCTCAGATGTCGGTACAGAAAGCCTGCATGGGAACAATAAATGGCACTGCAGTCATTTATACCTGCTGGAACCTATCCCATTACTTTGAAGGCAGCAGCATTGATTTTGTGGTGGCCAAAGGTCTTATCCATTGACTGAAATGGAGCTACCTTCACTTACTAATTGAGAATATAGCTCAACCAGTGGAAATCCATGAAATGTTGCGTCTGAGTTTACTTATTAAATAAACCCTTTCTCTGTATTATTTCATCAGGATGCTTGTGTTTATTGTGGAGCTGGTGCTTCTCACGCTTGCAGAGCCCATACTATGTGTGAGGAAGAACTGTAGCTCAGTGGCAGAGCATCTGCCTTGCATACAGAAAGCCCCCGGTTCAATCTCCAGCATCCCCAGGTAGGGTTAGGAAAGACTCGTTGCCTGAAACCCTGGAGAGTCTCTGCCAGTCAGTGTAGACAATACCGAGCTAGATGGAGCAGTGGTCTGACTCTAAAAAGCAGGTACCTAATGCTGGCAACAAAATAACAGGTCATATTTCCCCCTCATTTTTGTGTGGGAAATCCATTGAGTTAAAGGGGGGGGGGACCAGTGCTGTGGCCAAGACCCATTTGAGGTATGTCAACAACCAGTTTACAATATTAAGTCCCCATTTGGCCTGGAAACCCTCTTTCTTTTCTTTTCTTTTCTTTTCTTTCTTTCTTTTCTTTTCTTTCTTTCTTTCTTTCTTTCCTCTCCCTATATCTCTTTAATACACACAAACACACCATGTAAACACACATTGCTTTTCTTCTAGAAAAAAGGTGCCAGTACTGCATACTCTTGAGCGCCCCCAGAAAAAGCACTATAAACACACATCCAGTCTCACAAACGCATCTTACAAAAGTTCTCTGGCACACATCTGACCCCTGCATAGCAAGCTCAAATCCCAGATGTCCTTTATTGTTAAAAATGTGTTCATGCTTTTCCAGTCCTTACGCTGCCATTGTCCTCAATTGTTGGTTTTGCTTTAGTTTTATTCCAGGAATATTTTGATTTATTTTTTTTAGATTTTTATTATATTTTATTGTGAGACTCTCTAGTCTGATAGAGAGTTATTGCTTTTATTTTTGTTTGTTACTATGCTATGTATTTTTGTGTTTTTGTACTGTAAACCACCCTGTGATCCTTGCCTGAAGGGCAGTATAGAAAACAAACAAACAAATATTCTGTGAACCGCCCAGAAAGCATGGCATAGAAATGTAGCCAGTACACATAATAAATGTCCTGGTAGGTGAAGCATTTCTGAGGGACCTCAGCTACTGCTTCTCTGCTAGGCTCTCTCTAGCCACTAATTTGCTTTGGCTATTGGAGGGTGGAAGAATAGCATGAAGAAATAGGATCTCTGGTACACAGTAGGGGAGGTGATGACACTGGGGCATGAATGTATTAGCAGAGTACTAAGACCACAGAGTAGCCTTCCGCAACCATGTGCTCTCCAGATGCTGTTGGACTCCAGTTCCAATCAGTCACAGCCTGCATGACCAATAGTCAGGGGAGATGGGTGTTGTAGTCCCATAAGGTTTGGATGAGCACCAGGTTGCAGGCTGGTACTATCGAGCACCCAGTGGTAAGTGGGGAAAGAGATATTTTGTTGTTGGATAAGCATTAATCAATTCATGGGCTGTGGTGCACCGGAAGTCAAATTCTATAATCAAACAATGACAAGTTTGTTTAATTCCGCCCCAGTGCTGTTGTATTAAATGAACAAAATGTATGTTCTTACGTATGTTCTTACAAGCTGCCACAAGATGACATTTGCTTTATACCCCAGTTGTACACAACCACAGAAAGCACCCAATATGCAAAAGAACTGGGAAGGTATAATATTAAGATAAAGGAAAAGGGTGGAGACGTATGCTGACTTGCAATGACTTGCTCAAGACAGAGAACTGTGGAGAGTTGTTGGAGACCGGTCTGTGGGATGACGAAACCTGAGAAGCTATAAGCTAACCTTGAATTATTAATGCTTTCCAAATGTCCTAAACAGATTGGTGTGGACAGTGGCAGAAGAGCACATATGGATACATATGGTTCTTTAAAAACATAAAATTTGACATCACTTTTAAAATGCACTTGTGAATTGTGGCTTGCTAGCCAAGGGATGATAATGAGACCTGGGTGGTAGCAAACAGTATGATGGGGTACTGCCATTCACCTGGCCTCCAGTCAGTTATAACATGGTGGCTAGGTCAGCATGATGCAAACACAGTGGAAGAACCAATCCGGTGATCCTGCCAATGCATTTGCACTGCGGCAAACTCTCCATCGCAGCGATGCAACCATCCAGAGGTCAGGTGAGTGGCAGCACCCCAAGTTGACTGCAACTGTACCTGAGATAAAACCCCTGCTGTCCATTGGTCGCTGCCTGTAGCTACTTTCTCCTTGGTTTCACAGCCCACTGCAAAACATTTATTGGGCACCACAACTCCAACTTTTTTCTGGGTTTTCTGTTAGCGGTTCATTTTTTTAAAGCCTCATTCTTGTAGCCCCTTTATGAAAGCCTTTTGTTCCTCCTGACAGCCTTTGTCCTGTTCCAGCTTAGGTAGGATTAAAGACAGATGTCACATTTGTAGAGCAGATGGCATGTTTTGCTACCTCTCTCATTGATACCAGTCCAAAGGTATCTTTTTTTTCCTATTCCAAAGAGAGCTCTGAGGAAACCGGTTCAGCAGCTTTATGAAGTGGTGCAATTTGAATGGGAACACACTAGCTGAGGTAGTGCCAATTGGCTAGCACAGATGGTATCACCAACACCATCTTACCCCCAACCTCTGAAGCAGTTTGGCAACTGGTTTTAAAATACTGGCAGGTGGGTGGGGCTAGATACAAAAGTGGGTGGTATAGTAAATGGGTTCCTACCTACACCTTCTGTGGCACAATGGGTCAGTGTGTCTGGCTATTAACCAGAAGGCTGGTGGTTCAAACCCACCCAGGGACAACTGTGGCCAGGATTCCTGCATTGCAGGGGGTTGGACTAATTTCTCAAGAACTTACTCCTAAAAGTCAAAATCAGACAATACTGGAGCAGGGTACCTTTTGAACAGCTTCACACAAGCAACAGCAATTCACAGTTAGGACATGCTAACGCAGAGATCTCTACTGTTGGACAGAGCAATGAGTACTAGGCCTCTACCCGGAGCCATGTTGAGGAGAGTGTCTGGTGTTGCTAAGCAACCATCAACTATTTCCCCTCTGGAATTGGCAAAGCATCTGGCTGAGGCTTAATGCATACAATGGCCAGGGGAGTCGTGAGGAAGGCACCCTCAGTAAGTTGGGCCTAGATGGAAATGATAGCCTTGTATTTAGCACACTAAAATTTCTAGAGCTGGAATGGAGCACCTCAAGGCTTCCGGCCCCTACGACTCTTCCCAGGCCACATAATCTCCTGAGCCACATCCAGTGCTAAAAAAGCCCTGGCCAGCATCACCTCGCCAACACTTCTTGTGCCTTCCCCAAATGTTTTTGCCTGTCTGGAATGTATACGTGAACCCTAATAGTGCTTCTTGTTTGCCTGAATACTGCACAGAATTAAATTTCTCATTCATTGCTCTGGCCACATTTTTCTCTGGCCATGTCCACTTTTGCCTCTGGAGCCACTGGCATATTGCTCCTGGATAATTGTCCAAAAGGATTGCAGTCCTTGCCCTGGAAAAGGTTCCCCATCGCTACTCTCTAGCCACAGGGGAGAGTGCCAGACACTTGTGGCAGAAGGACAAAGGGAGGCCAGCAACAACAAAAACCTTCAGAGACTGAGAGCATATTATATGTATATGGTCCCAGGTTTAATCCCTGCCATCTCCAGTAATAAGGCCCTCTGCACCAGAGAGCCAGTGCCAGGCATAACAAGCAATGCTGGGCTGTGTTATAAGAATTTAAGGTCTCAAATATATAAATTGAATGTACAAGGCAAACACGTACATAAATACATAAACCACATGTCTGAAACTGTAGAGGAAGACAGTCCTGAAACCATTTTGACTCTCCCAAAGTGACCAAAAGTTTCTCTGCAAGGAGGGAAGAACTGAAAAAACCTCCCCATTGTCTCTGTGCTCACATTTAAGGTGTGAATAGGGTGAGCCTGTGACCTGGATTCAGGAATTAAGTAGTTATACAGTCATACCTCTTGTAACGTTTGCTTCAGGTTAAATCTTTTCAGGTTGCATCCCGCGGCAACCTGGGAGTACGGGAAAGGGTTACTTCCAGGTTTTGCCACTCGTGAAGACGCTCAAAATGACGTCGCGTGCATGCGCAGAGGTGGCGAATTGCAACCCACGCACACGCAGATGCGCAGATGCCAGATTGTGTTCTGTTCATGTTGCAAACGGGGCTCCAGAACGGATCGCGTTCGCAACCAGAGGTACCACTGTAATAACAAAAGAGTGGCCAAAACGAAGATAATACAACCAGGTAACCTGCCAGACAGGAGATAAACGACACACTCAGGATTCTGTTTTAGACCACCCCCTGTGATGGATGGATGATGTGTTGGGGGACGTGGTCCTGGGCTACACCCTTTCTGTGATGTATGTATGATGTTTCTGGGGGTGGTCTGGAGTTTGAGGGTGGGCAATTCCAAAAGTCTATATAAGGGCGGCCACACCTTTGTTCTGGGTCCCTCCTCTCTCCTGCATGTGGGGGGAGCACCCTGTTGCAACAGCTTTAATAAAGATCAGGCTGACTAGCTGCCTTGCTTCTCAATATCCTCTGGTTTGCATCTGTTATTTTCTTCTACTGATAGAGAACCTAAAAGAGGACTCTATATGGGCTCTTGGGTACCCCATAAGGCCATAAGGGGAAAGGAGCAGTTTTTTCCTTGTATCAGCTGACAGACAAATAATTTGACCCATTACAAGGTGGCTTTGTGTTTAAAACAATACCTAGTCCTGTATAACAGCCCCAGTCCTCTTGCCATGAATCCCTGGCAGTTTTTTCTCTCCTTCCCTTCTGCCTTTTCCCTCTGCCCTCTCCTGTGCTGTTTGCCCTTGATTTCGCCTTTTCCTCCCCTCCTGCTTCGGATCCCGTGAGAACATATGGCCTGGTGTCAAACACTGCTGAGTCACCGCTGCGTATGACCGACATGTGAGTCATGAGAGGGAAGTCCCTTCCTCAACTGGGTACTTTTTCAAACCGGAGCTGAGTAAAAGGGAAAGTTGTCAAGGAATGTTGGCAACCGAGAAGGTTGCCTTGGAGCAAGGACAAGGTTCCTGCTATATCTCCCCGAGTTATTTCCCTTTACCACAGTGAACTCGTGCCACTGACGTCGTCCAAATCCTCGAAAAGAACAGCAGGCCTTGAACAGCTGCTGGAGAATTGTCACAGACGATGCTTAAGATTAGTGTGTGGAAAATGAACAGCAGCAGCGACCGTTCCCAAATTCTTTGGATGCTGTGCTTTTGGTGTGCCCCAGGAGTACCACTGCTGCTAAAACTCGGGACTGCTTTGAGAGAGCAGTCCTAATGGGAGAGAGGAAGATGGGGGCTCAGCCTGACCTCACAGAATCAGGCTGTGGAAGAGGAACAGAGCCCTATGGAGTCTAAATGGCCAAAATACTGTGAAATTTTAGAACAAGATGGTGAAAAAGTCAAATACAGAGTTATGAGAAATTAAAGTCCAAGGTACGAGACTGGTTGCATTACCTTCAGATAAATGAGATATTTAAACAGGACAGGAAAATAGGCTTCCAGATGGAGAGGTCAAAATTAGAAACAGAACTGTTAGAACCCAATACTAAGAACTTGTCTAGAATGTATAATTTGCTGTTGAAATGGAATACACAGGATGAAACGGTGAAATCAGCTATGATTAAATGGGCACAAGATATGGTCATGACATTATGTTTGCTGACTGGGAACAGTTATGGACCACCGGTGTTAAGTTTACGGCATGTAATGCCTTAAGAGAAAACATAATGAAAATGATTTACAGGTGTACATGACCCCAGACAAGCTTGCCAAAATTTACCATTCGCCCAATAATAAATGCTGGAAATGTAATGAGACTGAAGGTACTTTTATCACCTTTGGTGGACCTGCCCGAAGATTAAAGCCTTTTGGGAAATGATCTATAATGAAATAAGAAAGTCCTTAAGTGGACTTTGCCTAAGAAACCTGAGGCTTTTCTCTTGGGCATGGTTGGCCAATTGGTGTCAAGGAAGGATAGGACGTTTTTCATGTATGCCACTACAGCAGCAAGAATTCTTCTGGCAAAGTATTGGAAGACACAAGAACTACCCACTCTGGAAGAATGGCAGACGAAGGTGATTGACTATATGGGACTGGCAGAGATGACCGGCAGAATCCGTGACCAGGGGAAAGAGACAGTGGAAGAAGACTGGAAGAAATTTAAAATATATCTTAAAAATTGCTGTAAAATTGAGGAGTGTTAAGATGTTAAGGAACTAAGAAAACAGAGCCCAAAAGGTCAAGAGGCAAGCCTCTCCCAATGCATGTGAAAGATATGTTGCTGCAGCACTCCCTGATTAGGTGTCCTCTTTAGATATGCACAGGCCTGCGTTCTTAGGAACCTCTCCCTTACCATGTGATCAAGGATTTTGTGTGAGCATGCCTCAACCACACACACACACACACACACACACAGCACATACAGACACAGCAGACAGAGTGTTCCGTCTGCTCCCTTGTATGAAAGCAGTTAGAGCCTGATCATGATTATATACCTCAAGCTGCAATCCGATATACACTTACTTGGGAGTAAATGCCATTGAAAAATGAAAACCAAGAGACTTTCTTCTGAGAAAAAAGTTATTATTACTGTTATTATTATATCACCTTCCACATATATGTCTCAAAGTGAATATAAAAACAACAACTTAAAACAGCACAGAAAAAAAGGAATGCTGTTTGTTACGCAGAACACAGGCAGCCACGCTAAAAGCCCTGCTCCAAGTTACTGTGGAGCCGGATTCTCGCCACTTTGGAATTTTTAGGAGAAAATATCCTGCAGAAGTATGTAAGGGAGTCTCTAAAGCACCCTGCCTCTGAGCTATATAGGGGCTTACAGGCTAGTGCCAACACCCTGAATTTCAAGATGTATAGGTTTGTGCCTCTCACTCCAGATCACTGGCAAAGGGGCTCTTAACATATGGGCCGCAGCAATGGGCTCTGTGAAGGTCTCTGCTATAGTGTTGGCTGGTCCTCTTGAGATTGGTGGGGCAGAAGGCAGGGAGGCCTACAGTAACCGGAGCCAGAGCCAATGACAGACAGGGCCAAGTAATTCTAGTTTTGTCCCCATCCTCCTCCCTGCTGAATCCTACAAATACAAAATTAAGGAGAAGGAAGCTGACAGGCAGTGCGAGCCTTCGGACTGGATGTAAGTACGAAGACAGGCAAGTGGGGGCTGGCTGCTGAGGGCAGACTGTGGTTGATGGGGAAGTGTCCCAATTGCAGTACAGTGGTACCTCGGGTTACATACGCTTCAGGTTACAGACTCCGCTAACCCAGAAATATTACCTCGGGTTAAGAACTTTGCTTCAGGATGAGAACAGAAATCGTGCTCCGGCGGCGTGACGGAAGGGGAGGCACCATTAGCTAAAGTAGTGCTTCAGGTTAAGAACAGTTTCAGGTTAAGAACGGACCTCTGGAACGAATTAAGTACATAACCAGAGGTACCACTGTAATGTAATGGACCAGCTACTACTGTGTCCCTTGGGCACCTCAGCTGCTAACTCCCACATGCATGCAAAAACATTTAATTTTCACAAAAACGGCTTGGTTTGTATGTTTTAACAACTTTTAGCTATTTTATTTTAGCTATTATTTGTTGTTACTAGGCTGGTAATCTTTCTGAATTTTCTTCCGCATAAAAACATATATTCATCGCTTTGGTAAACACAATAATGACTCAGGAATTAATTACAGTTAACCATCTTTCTACTTTATTCTTATTCTCACTTCATTTTATTGGATGGACAAAATCATCTATTTTGCACTGATCTGCTGTCCTTTTTCTTGTTAAGCTTTAAAAAAATGTCCATAGTTAAAACAAGAATAAAGTTTCATAGAATTTTTCATAGAAAATTTCATAGAACAAGTCTGTCTTTATGACCACTGGCCAGCACCTCCCCCCACCCCCCTTATTTGGCTGTAAAGCAAATGGTTAATTTAGAAATGCTG